CAGCGCCTTACAGATTCGGAATACCTTCCCGCGACTAAAAACCTATTCCTCCGTTCGGACTGGAAAATTAACCGGCAGAAATGAAAAAAAAACTGGTAGGAGGAAGGGGCAGGGGTACGTACGGAAGCTTGTGTTATTGGGTATCGGGGCAATTGCGGACTGCGGACTGAGGCATAGTTATAACAAAATTGCGAATGTAGTGATTGCAACAATTTAGCTGCAACCTTTTAAGCGCGAGTTATGTCATTCAATATCCCAATTATGCAACAACCGTCAACGGTGAGCGAGTAGCCCTAACCGACATTCACCATGAGCTGTTGTAGCTCGTCCCAATCGGTTAACGTTCGCAGCTGAGCTGGCGCGCCGCCCACGTCGGCACAGAGCGACGCAGCGTCCAAGTATCCATTGCCGCCGCCGCCGCCGCCGCCGCCGCTGCTGCTGCTGCTGCTCCGTGCCACAGCCAAGCCGTCGTACGCCAGAAGAACCGTCATGCCGCCACCACCTCGAGCCGCTAATGGGTGCGGCGGCTGGTGTACCGCAATCCACAGCCCGTCGGCACCGTCAGGGGAGCCAATGGCGGCCGCCGCCGTTGCGGCAGATGCACGTAGAGCCGCTGGCCGCCGCGCCGGCAGCCCCGCCAGCCTCTTACAAACAAACGGCAGCCTATCCGTACAGCTCCTCCCATCCAATCGCCAGCCGCCGCTGGCGGGAAGGAGTTGCGGGCAGATGGCTGTCGTATTGCTGTTGGTGGCTTCTGCTACCGCCGCCGTTGCCGCCGCCACTGCCACATCGTCGGGCATCCAGGTTCCAATCCCATCCCTGGATTCAATCGCCGCGGACGTCGTGTTGTTGTCAGCGTAGTAGCCATTGGCTCCAACTGGGGGGTTAACGCCGGAAGAGGTTGGGGTGATGATAAGGCCTAGATGCATCGCACTGCTTCCTCCACTACCAGCTGCTCCTGCTGCTGCCGCAGTGGCAGTGTTGCTGCTAAAACCGCTGCCGCTGCTGCTGCTGCTGCTGTTGGCACCAGTATTGTTGCTGCTAGTACCAGCGAAAGCGACAGGTGGCTGTAGCAGTCGCGATGCCGCAGCTGCTACCCAGGCCAGCTCCATCGGCTCCAGTGGGCTGAATAAATGGCCACCAGACGACTGGCAGACCTGTCCAGGAAAAAAGGGAAGTAAAATTTCCGAAATTTTCTGATTCATGAACTTTGTGCTGTTGTGCTAGCAAAGGAGCCAGGGGTCAGGGTCTTGTCAGGGTTACAAACATCTTTATAATTGTGGTCCATCTGTACAGCGAACGTGCGACTGTGCGCCAGACTTTGGCGGCCAAACCGGGGTCCCGACGTACTTACTACTACTAAACTAGCGAGCTTCACTGCTGCTCATTACGCGTTTTGCGAGAGCAACGATGAGCGCGGGAAAAAGCATATGCCATTTAGTACCTACCCGCTCTGCTGCGTCGTTATCGTACAATGACGTAAGGTAGAGTAGGTATTCGTACGAGCCGTACACTGAGCTGCCCTGGTGGCGGAGCATGACAGGATGCCGCTCCACTGAGGCTGCGGCCATCACGCCCTCCGCATCAGGTACGGAGCACACGTACGGCAACTCCATATCGCATGGTCGTACGACAAAGCTGGCATTACCAGCGGGGTCATCAAAGTGGGCTGTGACACAGTCGTTGGCCGCAGACTGACCGTACGGCATGGTGTCGGATCTGCTATTCCAGGGTAGCGGCCGGCTGCTGTTACCGTCCGCCCAAACGAAAGAGCCTTCCTTTGCCACATCACTGAGCCCGACCCAGTACGACAATTTAGACCATAAGGACAGTACGGCATCTGCCTCCGCTGCCGATGCCAATGACGGCAATCGTCCGCCAATGTGCTGTGTGCTACAAAATGCTGCTGCATCGTCCCAGGTCAGCCGTACAGCATCGTACAGGTAATATGAGCTGTTGCCGTACGAGGCATTGCGGAAGGGTCGCAACAAGGCGTCCTGGGTGGGCGGTAACCCGTCATCACCATCTTGCTGACCTGGCACGGCCGGTCCTGAGCCGGTGGGCGCCTCACATACCACTGGCAGTAGCGAATAGCATGGCACTGAACTCCACTCGCCTCGCTTAGGACTGCTGCTACTGCTACTGCTGCTGATGTTGAAGCCAGTGCCATTACTCTGCGCACTGAGCCAGAGTATGGCACAAGTCCCATTTCGACCTGAGGTACCGCACCGCACATCATGGCGCAAAATGACATAGCACAGCACGACAGCATACGACCGCACAGTACGGCAAAAGTTCACTAAATGGAAAAAGCCTCCATCTTAGCGCAGAAAAAGCGTGCAGGATAGTGCGTACATGTGAAGGAAGCGCTTAGCTGCTGAGATGCATCTCAATGAGTCCCGAAACCAAGCCCCAATTCCATAAACAAAACACACGATCTCACAGAAACCTAGAGTTGAAGCCACACCTGGTGGTGTAAAACCGCCGGCCCATTTGCTGTACGACAGCGCCGTACCGTCAGACCAGGTGGCGGAGGGGAGTCTGCAGTTTTACGGGAAGCGGAGAGGTCATTGATGCGCTCCGTTAAGGTACGGCATTGTACATTGAGCGGCACTGAAGGTTTGAGATTAAAGATTAGACAGACTCTCCCATGGCCAGACTAGGTCCGGTCTATGGTTGCAGCGGAAAAATCAAAAGCTGCAGCTGTAGTTGCAGCTGCAGCAACGTTACCAGCGGTAGCAGCAGAATCACGCACCTTAAATCTAGCCACACGGAACTAAGCACCGCGGCGTGCCATGCCGCCAGCTTCGCCATCGCCTCACCGCCAACGCCAACGCCAACGCCGCTGCTGTCGCTGGCGACGGCGCCGTCAAAGACTGCCAACGTGCCGCCGAGCTGGCGGCAGTGAGCCGTCGCGCCGGAGAAGGTCGCAGTGACGTCAGCAGAGCCAGATCCCAAGAACACGTACAACACCTGCCCCGTGCCGGCGGCGGTAGTGACGCTTCCCGCGGTTCCGTTGGCGTCGGCGACCGTACTGTTCTCGCCGGAGAAAGGTGCAGCACCAGCTGTAGCTGTGGCTGTGGCTGTAGCTGCAGGTCCCAATGGGACGATCCCAGGCGCGATGAACGTGGGGCCGAGCGCGTTGGCGGCGCACAGAGGGGACGCGACAGCGGCCGAACATGAAGACAGTAGCCAAGCTCCTCCGCGTGCAGTGCTGTCGGTTCCTGAATCCATAATGGTGCTGCCTGTCCTTGCATTATTGCTACTGGTGTCGTTGGCGCGGTCGGTGGAGAACATGGTTGTGTTACTGTTGGTGCTGCCATTCACGGTGTTGTTGTTAGTGGTGTCAACAACAGTAACATCATGGGCGGTGGTGTTGGTATTGGTATTGTTGATGGTATTGGTACTGCTTAAAGTGGCGTCAAAGGTGGCTGGGTATAGCGCCGTGGGCATCAATACAGCGCAAAGCGTTGCGGCGGCGGCACCGGTGCCGGCCGCTGCCGCTACCGTATCCGCCATGTTCAGCGGCTCCTTGATGTACGACAGCGGCGATCTGTCAGCCCAGGTTCCTGTTGTACCGTTCGTACTGTTTACACTGGCAGCATCCAACGTGTAGCCGAGCCAGTAAGTGTGCGCGGCGGCCAGGCTCTGCAGAAGGGCATCTTGCGTCGCAATGTCGTACAAGGGAGCCAGTGTCATGCCGTTCCTGGCGCACAGTGCCTCCGGGGTTCCGATAGGCTGGGCGTCGTTGTACGACCCCGCGGCTGCTGCGTACGGCGGCAGCGCCACGTGGCTGTAGCGGTAGTCGGAGTACAGTTCAGACCATATGGCGTTTCCCGGCACCGCAGCGCGGGCCTCACACGCGAACCCGGCGGTGCTGCCGTTGCAGGACGCTGGATGCCACGTCCCGCTGACGATGTCGTACTGAACACAGTCAATCCCCGCTACCGCCGCCGCTGCTGCCGCAGCGCCCGCCGCGAAAGCATTGAAATCACCTGCTGCATCGCCACTCCACCTGTACGACAAGCTGTTCATCAGTTCAGGCGAGGACGGGGGCCCTGCTGCCGACAGCGCCGATGGAGCCGACGATGGCAGCGGGCTTCCCGTAGCGTTAGTAGTGTTACTGGCAGCGGCGGCGCCGCCGATACCGGTCAAAGGGTTGACCCGGCGAAGACCCATCCACAGCCGCCTGTACGGCATTATAAGTGCTTGATGTACGGCAGTCACCTCAGCTTCGGAGTGCGGCAAGAAGAGATCGCCGCCAGCGGCGTGGCAGAACCCCGCCGCTGCCGCTTGTGTGGTCGCAATATCATAATAGTCGTATTCAAGAAAGCCGTACGCCGTTGAGTTGCCGTTGGGAGCCGCCGGCAGCACCATGCGGCGTGGCGGCCGGCTGGGAAGCGTCTATGTCGTACGTACGGCAAAAACGGAGGATTTGAACAGAACCACACGCAAATAGGGACAAGAGGAGCGAGTCTTCAGAAGAGTGGGGTCGCCTGACGAAGAGGCGAGGATTGTCGTGCGGTGACATGACGGACCGCACAGACAGACAGACAAACGCACTTACAGACGGCCAGCATGCAAGAAGCTAAGAAAGGCTCCAGGCAGCAAGGACCAGATTTTCAAGGACCAGCTTTCCTTAAACATCTAAAATATTCTTAAAATCAAATGAGCCGCCATTGCGGAGCATCCTTGGGAAGAGAGAGCTACAGGGAGCTTCTAGGGCTATGGCATGGCAACATCTAACACTGAATCCCGATGGGAATCACATTATTTACAACAGCAGATCATAAAGAGCAAATCGGAATCACATAAAACTTGCAAGTATGGATTATTACGTCGTTTCCGTGGCTCCTGCTAAGAAACGCATACCTGCGTCCATAAAGGAGCTCCGCTGCTTGAGTTTTGGGCAAGAGCAACTTGCACGGCACTGGCAATAGTGTACGGCTCCGTATCACCGTACGGTAATAACGGTTGCTGTATTGCCGCCTCCAGGTCACTGTACCCCAGCGGTGATGCGGACTGCGCTAGCGGCTGTAGCGCTGCGCTGCGTATGACGACTTCGGAGCCATCGATGGAGGCGACTGGTGCTGTGCCGTACAAACAATGTCGTAGGGGCCGTGCCAAGATGTACGACAATATTTGCCGTATGAGAAGCGCGTGCCACAGCAGCACAGACGGGGTATGATGGCGGGGTGGGTACAGCACAGTACGGCGTTTACCGATGAGAATTGGCAGGAAACTACGTCTGGACGTACAATACACGTAGGTGATGCAATGCACTGACGATTGCACGGGCAGGCGGAGGCATATGCACACGTTACGGGGCCGCATACGGAGCGGTTTTTGTAAGGATTACGGAGAACCTGACGGGGTCTGTGAAAGCCGTACCCTTCTTGGCTTACCGGTGGAGGAGCCAGTAGACACTTGTGCTATCCATCCTGCTGCGCTTGCATTGGCCAAACTGGCTGTGGCACTGCTGTTAATGGGGTTCAACAGAGGATACGCCCCCGCAAGACAATGGCCGGCAAGGGACCCGCCAAACCGAAGACTAAGGCTAAGGTGTGTCGCATGTACTAGCCTCAAAACTGATATTAATATAAGTCGTAAAATCAGCTGCAACAGAATGGAATGACATTGTGCTTTCAGGGGCGAGACGCGAAAGGTCGACTTGAGCATCCGTTCCGCGCCACCGTCACTTCGTTGTGAACAGTCGTGTCAGTAATGACCAGACAGTGCTGATATTCCCCGTCGATGATGTGGATGGGCGAAGCAAGTAGGAGAGGTTACCAGCATCGGGGGCGGAACCTTGCGCAGCATAGGCCATGATACTGTCTCGGACGACGCTTCGGATTAGTTTTTCTACTAACTGCTAGAAACTACATAAGCCTGAGGACAAGGGCTGGCTGCCTATCCAGCTGATGCCATTACCAATGCCCGAACTTTGTGGTGGCAGAAGTTCTGGGTTAGGAAAGTTGATACCATACGAATGTAATGTAAAGCTCTTTCATTCCAATCGATGACGTCCAGCACTACGCCGAGAACTGAAAGGAGCAAAGCCAAAATTGCAGATACGGCTGATAGCGGATTACGACTACTTCGAGATTATCCAGAAGCGTGTCCTATATTAAATTACGATTTAGCTTACGCTGAATGACTTTCCCGCGAGCGTCACCTGCGCAGTTTACACTGTACCAGCCAGTCGTACAAACGTTCCTCCATACAGTTGCGGCCGTAGCTATGTTGCACATATATTAGAGCATTTGCAGACTCACATATGATGTAAATATTCTGCATGAGTATTGATGCAACAGATGCAGCAATTTACGGATGCAGAGGTTACACCACTGTACTGGAAAAGCGTTGACCGCTACGCGCAAAGATACGTATGGGTCAGTATTACGAAGTGCCAGAATCTTAATGCTTAATAATAATCTCAAAATATTCGTTACAGGGGCTGAATGACCAGCTTGACCATTGAGTGGCTCAATACTTCTCGATTAGCTTCCATTTAGTTAACCTGACACCAGCAAGCTACGTACAACATCTTATCCGTAATCAATTAATCAAATTGAATGGAGTACTTCGTGGATGATGTGAAGATGCTCATTACGGCTCGGAAGGGATCCCAACAGGTAGTGCAACCTTTGCTTAAGCCTTGCGCGGCCTTATGCAGCTATCAAACATGGATGAAAATGGCAACGTTGATTGCTAATTTTACTCTTTGCCACCGGGCCACGGATACGTGCACTACGTTGTGTATGTAGTGACGCTTCCACATGAGTATACAAATGTTTACATCCCCGCGACCTGGAAGGCTAATCCAGCCTAGGTATTCTTTTTTCCTTCCCAGCGGCATGCGAATCTCTAAGTTCAGTGCCGGCAAGACGTTCGTATTCCTGGATGTTCTCAATAAGAGGCACATTCCGCATAGATAACAGTAAAACTTTGCAGTAACAAAACTCAGCACTTCAAACTAAGTGATATGTTATGTTATGTTATGTTTTGCTATGTTATGTTACGTCTGGGTTCGTAAGGCCCAGACGAGCCAGGAGGCCCATGGACCGCGAGTTCTAGCGTAGTCAAAAAAGAAAAAAAGGGATATGAATTTGCTCTGCGACAGAAAACAGTAACTAGCTTGATTGAGCTCGGACTTATCACTCGGCTATCGACGTGCTTCGCCTCGTCCAGCTGTTACTTACGATCTGCTCGAGTACGTTTTGGATTTCAATCTCCATGACAAAAGTTAGGACTGCACATGATTCCTAGTGCCATGGACTGCGCACCATGGATGGACACGTACGGTTCAGCCCCTTATAAGTCACCCCTTACACCATATAAATTGTATCTTTATAAAGATCTTATTTTCAATGACACGCCAGGAAGCTGCGCGCACTTAGACGCTTTGGCAACGGCCATGTAAACATGGCTCCGAAGTACAGCTGCCACTTGAGGGGATACTTGTCCTTCTTTTCCAGCCATGCGCCGTCGCTCTGCCCCTTCACGACCCGCTGCGTCTGCGGTCAGGGCCTCATTGCGCCGCGGAGTGTGGGGTTAGGAGTCTTAGCTGCCATCAAACTCGACGCCCGTGTTTCGTGGCATTACAGTGCTATGATAAGGTTAACATGTATGTCTCCTGTAAGATTCTGGAGGCTTTGGCACGGACTGACAATTTTTGACTGGAGGAATGAACTTGTAGGGTTGGAACATTATTTATTCCTAGTTTTCAGGACCACGAACAATTTTTTATTCCGAATTCGGAATATTCCGCAAAAAAACGCTGGTGATGCTGTGGGTCTTGCATAACGGTGCTCTATCCATGGTCCCCCGCTAAGAAAGCTACAACTAAGAAGTTACAAATAATTCATTTTACCAGGGAAAAGAGTGGAAGCAGGTGCTTGGCGACTCCCTCTCCTATCTTTTTCGAGACTCCTTTCAGACAGATAGACAGACAAGACATTCTTGTGGACGATGCACACCGCCTGCATGAGAGTAGTGTTATGTGCGACGGGCGCCACAGCGAGTAGTTCAGGAGGAGCTGAATAACAGCCCTTGCCGGTCAAACGCGAGTGACCAACCAGCTGTCTGCTGCGGACTGCACGACCACACTGTAACCCTAAACAATACGTAAGAGTCCGGCCCCAAAAGGAAAACAGAGATGGACCATGTGGGAACCTGGGAGACAAGGGAGAGCAAGTCAAACACCAAACCGGTGGTGGGCAGTGCAGGCGCAAGGGGAAATCCATGACCCCCCCACCCCTGCCCCCTTAATACACGCCTTGATTCAAGCTGAAGGCGTATTGTTATCATCACTGTTATTACTATTATGGAAAATCGGTGGGCAAAGGACAGGCGCACGCCCCACCTCAAGCCGGCTGCCCATGACATGAAGAAAGATGATGGCCGCGAGGCATACAACCTCCCACACACACCCAAAAAGGTCGGTGGAATGCCCAACCACAAGTTATCCCGGTTAAAAAGGTCTGAAACTCTAGTTCGTTCTGCAGAGCCTCACAAAGAGCCAACGCGACGGTACACTCCCAGAAATGATGTCGACGATCCCCACAAACCATGCGCACACCACACGGATACAAAGCAGCAGGGACGCCTCTTAGACGTTGCGCCCTAAGCATAGGAAAGGCAGGGAAACCATCAAGAGCTAGCCGCCAAAGGGCTTCTTTATGTTCGTTTTCCCACCGAAGTCGCCACATGCGCGACAGAGTCCGAACAAGGTGTTGGCCAAGTTGTCCGGCGATAAGACGATATCAACAGCATCCAAAATAAAATCTTCATGTTTCTCATCAAGAGTCCGTAAAGAAGCGCCATTAACAAAGTCATCGCAGAATTGAGGGAAAACTCTAAGTTTTGTGGCCCATGCGTGAGACAGGTTCATGGGACAAGGAATAGAGTTTACATTCCTTTGAGCCACGTGGTTATCGCGCAACTTAGGAATGCTAAGGACTTATTTGTACTCAAGACCGCTATGATCCTGGGCGTAGGACGATCGGCGCTACAGCGTTCAATAAACCTGGCGCTCAGTTCTTCAGTAAGCAATTGCGCACAGTAACCGAATTCCGTACTGGATGATGCTTTTTGAGGAAGAGCTGATTTCATATTGTTGTAAACGGCATGCTCATCCGGACATTTAAGAAACGGACAAGTAGGAAGCTACCGGATGTGTTACATGTGCTGGTATCTTGGTAGACGAAGATTATAAGACGAAGAAGAAGAGAAGGACAAAGACCTCATACCAGCAAGTATATCACCATGGACCAAGAGATGAACTCCGTACCTCAACAACTACCCCTAACGGTAATGCCTCAAGTGTCGACAGGATTGGACGAACACCAGTAGGAGCACTGGTTTTACAACACACATATGACCGTAATACGTGCGTTTAGCTGCAAGGCCGTACTGCTGAGTGAGGCTTCTTTTCAAACAATTTGGCGGAGTCTTGACCTGTGGATGTTGCAACTGTTTTATGACAGTCAGTTGGTGAGACGGACCGTACCTTTAATAGCTCCGTTTTAAAATATTTATTCACTATTGGAACTACCGTGCGTTAACATTGTATGCTGGCCTTGATTGCTGACGTGCAGTTTCGTCGGCTTCTCCAGCTTTCCTGTTTTTGCGGTCCCGCAAAATCCTGTCTCTTATCTTACAAACTCTTTCTTTGACGCTGCCTACATGCTTGCGGCGCAGCAGGAGCGCGCAGACCCAGGATATCCACGAAAGACTCGTCCTTCCTTTCAACAACAAAGGCAAGCAAACCTAAATCAGAAAGTTACCTTTTCCTGACTCCGTTTCTCTCGCCAGCACGACCACGTCTACCTGACGGTTGCACATAAGGTCCAAACATGCAGTCGCGCACTTGCAGCGCAGCGCTCCTAGCAAGCGCTCCCAGGGCCTTTGTAATTGCCCTGGAAGCTTGTACATCAAAACCATCGTTTGCGACAGCAGCTCTGCAGCCAAGCAGCTTCTTTTCCAGCATCAGTCCGTTCCGTTTATGTATTGGAAGCGGACGCGAAGGAGGAAGGGGAGCAGCAGGCAGCCTGGTAGCAAGATTGCGAGGAAACGCTGAACGCGAAGAAGCTTCAGCACTGCCCTCTGGACGCCTCTTTTTCGCCAACTCAAACGCTAGCTTTGCGGCGGCAGCGTACTCGTCGGCCTCGCCCGCAGCTGAAGCTGCAACGACGGCGGTGGACAATGCTGGCAGTAGTACCAGCAGTGCCGAAGGACGCGCAGGCAGCATAAGCAGCAGCAGTAGCAGTAGCGGCAGCAGTAGCAGCAGCAGTAGCAGTAGTGATGCGTTTTTGGAGGTTCCGGGAGGCCGTCTGCCGTACACTTCTCAGTTGCAGTTCGTAGGGGGTCCTGAGAGCCCTGCCCCCAGCATCCCCTGCTACCGGACGATAGACTCAACTGGCCAAGATGTACGGGACGCGCACGTGCCGTACCCACTCAGCCAGGTACGACAGAAATTATAAAACGTATAATTGCGACATGAACTCCTGATTCAAAGGTCCCTCATACCTCACCCTCATTCACAACACATGCACACGATACCTCACACGCGCCGCGCATGTTGGCGATGTTCTGGTCGCTAGCATGCTTTACTGTTTATGCTACTGCTACTGCTGCATCTGGTACTGCGACGGCTGCCGTACAGGAGCTAGCACTCCAGATGTACACGTGCATGGCCCGGCTACAGACCATGGATACGTTGTTCTATGAGGCTCAACGGCAGGTATGTATGTATGTATGTAATGTATGTATGTATGCATGTAAGTTGTTACAGGGTGGTATAGCTTCACCAGCGGCCCCCTTTCCCGAGGCAGTTCCCTGCTCTCCCCTGCGAGAGGGGCACCCTAATCCATTCACCCCATTCGACTTCAGAATGTTTCGGCAACTCACCACCAGCATCCAACCACAAATCTAGCGGATCAACGGCGCCACAGCTGAGTTCCTGGTCAGCTCGCAAATTGCTATAATCACGTCGTACACCGTCCACAAGATGGGGGGCCACCTCCCAATTCAACACCCCTCATACACCGAGGAGGCGGCAGGCGGATCTGAACCAGGACCCTCCGGGAGCAGAAGTCAGGCCTTAACTTCTGCCAGCCACCTGCCCGCTCGTCCATGTATGTATGCATGTGTGTAAGTATGTGCGTCCGGATGCCCCATCCAGGTTGCACCTCCGGTCCTCATTCCCCCGCCCCCCTTCCACCCCTTCCACCATCCCCTTCCACCCCTCCTCCCTCTCGTCCATAATTCGTCCCCCCCCCTTATGCCCAGGGTCGCTTCTCCTTCTACCTCACGTGCCAGGGGGAGGAGGCCACCAACATTGGCTCAGCAGCTGGACTAGACGGAAAAGACATGGTGTGTGTTTTGGGGGGGGGGAGAGGGGGGCTGGGTCGGGAGGGCACGGTTGCGGTTCCGGTGCCGTGTCGTACTGTGTCGTGTCTTGTCGTATTGTGTCGTGTGTGGGGGAAGGGGGGTTTTGTAATGGTACACTTTGCGGCCGTATGAATGGTTGATGTACGACATGCCGTATGATATGTCCGGGATGTAGACCGCAAAGGTATCCACCGAAAGGTATCCCATCAGTACGGAAAAGTACGGCACAGCGATGAAGTGAAGCAGAGCCCGTTGGAAGCTGGTTCGTGGCGTCGTTGCACATGACGTCTGTTGATCGTCCTCCGTAGGATTTGCCGTACATACAGACCTTACAGATTTACAAACGCACATACAGACGAACAGATACCCATTTCGCGCTCTTTCGTCTGTGCAGGTGTTCGCCCAGTACAGGGAGCAGGGTGTTCTTATGTGGCGGGGCTTCACCTTGGAGCAATTTGCAAATCAGGTAATGGGTTTTATGTGTTGGGGGGGGGGAGGGGGGAGGGGGAAGGGTTGAGGGGGAGGGGGGAGGGGGAGGGGCACGTGGCAGCAGGATGCCTCGATATAAATACCACCGTGATCTCCGTACGCAAAAGTCGTACATGAGCTGTCACATGTTCTAATCCACGCCACGCCACGTCGGCCACGCCGTGCCACGTCAGCCACGCCGTGCGATCTCTAAATGTAGTACAATACGGCAAAAACATTTGGCGATGGCAGGGTTACACGTGTGTTGCGTGCACAATTACCATTTCCTTGCACACAACGAGCGGCATTTCCTGCTACTCTCTCACAACAACCAATGCACGGCCAACCATACTTTCTTTTCTTTTCCCTTCCCTCCCCTATGCGCTATCTTACCCTACCTTACCTCCCCCCCCCTCCGTTTTTGTTGCCGTATTTTTGCTGCTTCACTCGCCAGCGGTTGGTCTTATCCCTCCTTTCCTTTACCCCCCTTTCTTTGGCTCCTCTTGGACTGCCCTCTTGGAGGTTATCTCTTTTGAATTTGTCGCATATGACTCCTGTCCTTGCCCCCCCTCCACCCCCGCATATGACACCCCCCTCCCGCCCCCCTCCCGCCCCCTCCCGCCCCCCTCCCGCCCCCCTCCCGCCCCCCCTCCCGCCCCCTCCCGCCCCCTCCCGCCCCCTCCCGACCCCCTCCCGACCCCTCCCGACCCCTCCCGACCCCCTCCCGACCCCCTCCCGACCCCCTCCCCGCATCAGCTGCTGGGGAACTCCCTGGAGCCCGGCAAGGGCCGGCAGATGCCCATCCACTACGGCTCCCCCGAACACGCCTACCAGACCATCAGCTCACCGCTAGCCACGCAGATGCCACACGCGGTCGGGGCAGCCTACGCATACAAGGTGCGGTTGGCGGGGGTGAAGGACAGGCTTGTGAAAGAGGCTGTGTGAGTATGTATGTTGTTACAGGGTGGTTAACTTCGCCAGCGGCCCCCTTTCCCGGGGCAGTCCCTGCTCTCCCCTGCTAGAGGGGCACCCTAATCCGTCACCCCATCCGACTTCAGAATGTATTCGTTGAGTTCGGCAACTCACCACCAGCATCCAACCAAATCTAGCGGATCAACGGCGCATCAACTTAGTTCCTGGTCAGCTCGCAAGTTGATATTATCACGTCCTACACCGTCCATATGATGGGGAGCCACCTCCCATTTCATCACTCCTCAAACACCCGAGGAGCTGGCAGGCGGATTTGAACCCGGGTCGACTGGATCGACTGGGAGCAGAAGTCAGGCCTTAACTTCTGCCAGCCGCCTGCCTGAGTATGTATGAGTATGTATGTATTATTGACATATGCCCGTGTTTCATGTCGTACTCGTTTTTTACGGAATGTACGGCAGATGGACCGCGTACAGCAGGTGGCTGTCGTATACTTTGGCGATGGGGCATCTTCGGAGGGTGATGCGCATGCGGCTTTCAACTTCGCCGCGGTGCTCGGGGCGCCCGTCATCTTCATTTGTCGAAATAATGGCTATGCCATTTCGACGCCAGCACATGAGCAGTACAAGGGTACGGCGGCGGAACGTTGCGGCGGTCTTATTTTGGCAATTCGGGGTCTTTTGCATGTTTCCTTGCTACTATATATCAGGATATAATGAGTATATCAGGATATTATTAGTAAATATATATAGTAATAATATCCCGATAATACTATAATATCATGTTCTCATGTTCTTATGCACACTTACTATCATCCACACCCTCACTTAGGTTATTGCGGTGTCATGTTTCATAATTGTCATTGTCCGCAGGTGATGGCATCGCCGGCCGTGGGCCAATGTACGGCATCCCGACGCTCCGCGTCGATGGCGGTGACGTGCGCGCGGTGTATAATGCGGTAGTGGCGGCGCGGGCGCGGGCGCTGTGTATGCCGTACGGCAGCTCCGGAACCGGCTCGACTCCTGGCGGCTTCTTAGGTGAAGCCGGCAGCTCCGGAACCGGTCCCGTTTTGATCGAGTGCATGAGTTACCGCTCCGGGCACCACTCGACTTCTGATGACTCTACACGGTAGGTGGTTTCTGATGCTGCCGGCTTTTTGCTAATGTGGTTTTTTTCATCGGTCTTATTATGTATGTCTTAACCTGCTGCTTCCTAAGAGTTTTTTGTTGTACGGTTTTTTGTACGGTTGTTGTACCGTGCTGCAGGTACCGCACCAGCGAAGAAATGCGCGCGTGGCGGGCGCGCGATCCAGTGGCACGTTTCCGTACGTGGCTTGTACGACGGGGCTGGTGGGACGAGGCGCAGGAGGCGGCGTTGCGGCGAAATACCCGTGTACAGGTTAGGAGGGGTTGGGGGGGCGGGTTGTAGGGGGCGGGTGTAGGGGGGATGTCGGGAGGCCAGAAGCGCCACCGCAACAGCAATCTCGGTGGTGGGGGCAAGCCACCACACACGCGCACCAGCATTACCCACATGCACACCAGCATCCGCATCCGCATCCGCACAACAGGATGGCTTCGGAGCGGGTGCTTTCCATTTTGGAGGCCTACCGGGAAACAACCTCCCCCCCCCTCACCTCACACTCTTTGTGTTGCCTGTTGAGGCCATATTACTTTGCCATTTCGTTAATGATGAAAAGCCTTCTTAAGGCGTAAGGCTTGATTGTCTCGCATGATGATGGCGAATTCGAGGAAAGGGTTTTATGATCTAAAACCCTTAAACCCAAAATTCATAAAACCCACATGCATACAGGTGCTGGAGGCGCTCGACGCCGCGGCCAAAGTGCCCAAGCCCGAGTTGTCCTCCCTCTTCACCGACGTATACTCAACCATCACTCCGCTTTTGGAGTCTCAGAGGAAACAAATACTGGAGTTTGTACGGCGTCATCCTTCCGTGTGCCCGCCGGACGTGCCCGTACAGTAGTCATGCATGTGGGTCGTACGGTAATGAACAGTTCGTATTCGCATGCCCGTCTGGCAAGTTGTTATAATGGTAAACTGTTTTTGTAGGTAAGTAGCAGGTAATTGGGAGGTAGTTGAGGTAGGTAGTTGAGGTAGGTAGGTAGGTAGGTAGTTACGAAGTGTGATCTATTTTTCGGGCGCTGTTTGGGCTTCTGTTTGCCGTAATCCGTGTATTCGTTGGCGTTTGGTAGTTGGTGGTTGATCTCCTAAACTGGAGGTGAGCAGGGTGAAGGTGATGGATGTGTCAGGTCCTGCTGTTGCGAAATGCAGTTGCCTGTTGCAACTAAAGTTGAAAGCCGGAAACAGAAGAGGATTTTTTGAGTTGCGTATGCACGCACGCAGAAGCTAAACCTTTGGGAAAATGAAAAACTTATAGTTGGGCGGCTGCAGTCTTGATTTTGATTTTCTTTTGGCGCCAGAGGTGGCCGAGCAAAGTGCAGGGAAAGATGGAGAGAGATGTGATCAGTGATGATAACGTGAGAAGAAAGGATGGATTGACATGTTGAAGAAGAAGAAAAGAAGAAGAAGAAGAAGTAGGCGGAGATAAGATGAAATTGGAGGTGAGGAAAAATGACCAGCAAGCGTTTCCTTGCCGCGCGGTTGCTTCAAGGTGGCAACAAAATGGGGCCCCGGGGCTTTCATGCTTTGCAATCTCATCCAAGTCCGTATTTTTATCCTCAAATTTATTGCATCAGCCATACAGTCTGCAGATAAGGTTGGGCAAAAAGGAGGCAAATTGGCGGGAAATCGAAGATTTGAAATTTGCATTCCTTTGGCGCCCCGCGAGGTGGATGTAGCTGGAAGAAGATTGAAGGATTGGCGGAAGGCGATGGTAGCTAGGCAGGGCGAGCGGAGGACGGCGCTGATTGCTGGCCATTATTAGCCTCTCGTACGGCTCAAATTCTTGCCTGTTTGTACAATATAGGTCCTGCTTTTGATTGTACGCTATACCAACCCCAAGCATGCAAGACATGCTCTTGTAAGGCATGCATGCCTTCCCTGGAGTATCCAGTTCTCTGTGTGTATCACACCTTTATGAATATGTATTCTTCGACACTGAAGACCAATATAAAATTGGCGTTTGTCGTACGAGTTGTACACTTCCCTCCTCCTATGACTCCCGGTCGTGTGTGCAAGTCGCGGCGGCGTCTGGTCCGTTATATATGGTTGATTACGCTGTGGTCTCAGTCTGTTGTTCGGCGACTGCGTGTGATGGATATGCCTGGTGAGCAGCAGTTGTGGGCTGCGTGCTGGTCGTGCCTGGCCACGCGCGTGGCTCCTGGAGGAGTTTTGGGAGGCCGGAGTAGCTCTTTGCCGTGGAATCCCTTCAGGCTGATTATCCCTTGTGTCGTATCATGTCGTATCGTGTCGTATCATGTCGTATCGTGTTGTGTCGTGTTCCTAATCAACATTCCATTGGAGGCAATGTTGGAGGCGAGCCCCTCCTCTGGCGTTGTGTTTTTCAGATTTCTCATGTTGTTTGGTCCACATGAAGATGTCAGCCGTGTATCCTATATACTTCCTGTGGTGCGTGTGTCCGTGTGTCCGTGTGTGTGTATGTGTGTTTGGGGGCGGGGGGGAAAACAGTACAGAAGGGAAACTAAGATACACTGCACGTAGATGAGCCCTCGTTGCATGGGGGTATCACTTTCCCTGTTGTAACCTTACCAAAGGGTGGAGGTCCACCAAAGCTTATTCCACAAGTTACCAACCGACGTGGCGGCCTGCGTGGACGTGGACGCGCTTCATTATCAGGGCATTAGCAGGGTTGGGTCGGAGCCGCTTTCCGATGGCTCGAGGCTTCGTGGACTGGCGCAGCTGTGTTGTCCGATTTGAGGCGGCTGGGGGTCCGAACGGCGTCATGGATGGAACTTTTATAATTATAATTATTTGCTTTCGCATCTTAATATTTATTTATGTATCTCTGTTATCATAGCTAGAATACTTTTGCTTGCGGCTTTTTGATGCTCCTGTACTTTGCGCGTTGCTCATCTGCGAAATGGGAAAATGTACGTGTATACCTGTTGTTGCCGCCAACAGATGGATCCTCGAGTGGATGCATGCGTGGAAGAGGGCCGTGTCGTGTAATCCTTTTGCTCTACCGCTATGAACGCAAGTCGGTGTCGCGGATTGAAGACGTCAAGTAAGCGAGCGATGGATCTGAATCTTCCCGACCTTCCCGAAGCTCGAGAATTGGTGCGCAGCAACCGTATCGCGGTAAACAAATCCCAAGGCAGATTCGAATGTATTCCAGAATTTGTATATCATGTATTATACACGTTCAAGCTGTGAACTTTGGGCCCTACACTTGAACGTGCTGCAGCCGGAGGTGGCTAGATGTTGGTGGCCCCTACGATCATCATACCAGCAGCCGCCAGAACCGCAGATGCCGTGCCATCTGATTTATTTCTGTTCAGGTTTTATTGCTATCATAAAAGATGCGGACATTCCGACAGTCTCGGAATGTTGATGCTGGAGAGCAGAACCACGTACGCGCTTTGACTGTCTAATTGCCTTTAGTTGTCTCATCTGGGTGATTGTCTAATTTGTATATTAGTCTCTAGTGCAGTGATGCACGGCCAGCTGGCCCGATGGCTCTACTCTTCGTGAGTCTGGAGGCCACTGCAACAACCACACACACACGTAAGAGGAACCATACGGCACAGGGAACTATTCGACTATTTCTCTTCCCCGAGGGCACCTCAGTTACAGGCAATGCTCGATTGCGACGGATCGGGCGATTCAGTCGTTGTCCGGTAGCGACCGAAGCGAAGGTTGCTTGAGCAAGCTCCAGATCAGATAGATAGGGTCTTACAGGTATGGGTCACGCACCCCCAACCATGTAACACACACATACATAGATAGATAGATAGAAATTATTGCTGAGGTAGCACGTCCAAAAGCAGCATCGTGTACGAAAGCAGATGCCGTAATCAGCGTCGCGGAGTTTATTAAGAACCAAGCAACGCTAGGGTAATAAGGGGTTAATAAGGCGCAGACGTGAAACTGATCAGAAGGAGACGTCCTGCCCGGCTGCTTTAGAGGCGCTTGCGCGGATCTATCTATAGCGGCGTTATGCGCCGCTTTGCCAATCCTGCACGCAAGAGACACTGCAAGGCATTTTGTTGTTGTCCGCCATGGGCAGGAGCGGGCAAGGATGGTGCAGGAGAAGCTTCACCCGCAGGATTGGGGATGCGTATTGCTAGGTGTCATCTGATTCTCCGGTTTAAGCAGCATCGTTCCAGCATCATTTTGAAATACGTTAGCCATGGATACTCGTGAGGCATGGGCGGTGCCTCAAAGATTTGCTGTACTTTTGAGAGCTGTGAATGGGCAGGGGTGTCTAGCTGCCCGCCGCCTAAAAGATGCAGGGAAAAGCGCTAATCCACCTACCAAACTGTACCAAACGGCCTTCCAACTGTCTGACTGCCAGCCCTCCAGCCCCGGCAGGGGTTTTAGCTTCGATGGCTCACGCCACTGTCATTGCACATCTATGAGATTAGCGAAAGCGCAACGCTTGACGGCTTCCGCTATTTGTTCCCGCCAAATCTGTACAAAATGCACCGAAAATCAATTATACTTTGTATAAAAGCCTAAGTTAAAGCCTACGTTTCTACAGCCTAAAGTGTGCCCAAAATAGGCAAAGGAAAGTGCCGTAGGATTAGGACGCCGAATCGCGATGCAAAATTGGAAAAATTTGTGGTAGCCAAGCTGTAAATTTAGAAACATTGATGCCATGTGCATTATTGATTAGTGCAATAGTAGTATTTCCCACGCCTAAACTTTGCTAGAGAAGGGTCTGTATTGCCGTATGTCGGGATGGCCAGGAAATCAACCAGCCAGACGCCAGATAAATATCACGTTCACTATCTTATGGCAGCATTGTGGCCAAGAGGAAGCGCATCTGGCTGCATCAAATTGCAACACGCTCCACAGTCGTACAGCGTTTGCAAGCAACTTCCGTGTAGCATCCGTTGGACCCGTAAGGGATTCAGATATTCCGGAATGTGCAGCTATGTAAGGCATTTTTATCTTAGTTAAGAAGTTGACAAGCACTCAGTTTTATTTTGCTGAAACAGACGGTTAACCAACCTACACCTAACCTCACCATAACTCTTGTTCGCGCGAGAGGTAGCGAGTTCTTTTCTTTTCAAATAGAATATCAATTCCCTTATCAAGAAGCATGAGCAGTACTTGCTTAGGCTACACAATGACTGTTGAATCGTTGCAGGCGCAACCTGGCAGTTGGCAAGTTCAAGGCCTGGACTTTCTTCGAGAGATCAACTTACCACCTCTAAGGGAAGGTAGATAATGTCACGAATCATTAACTCATTGGCAAAGCTAAAGTCGTCCTTCGTAGTATTGATGCAGCAACGCAGCGGCAGCGGCGTGAAACCTGATGCGCTTTCTCATAACACTGCGATGATGCCAGAAATTCGCAAACCAGCGTTAAACATTTGCTGTGAATTCTGTGATATTTGCAACTCTTTGCAGTTCCCACGGACTGCCTGGACTCATCCCTACCCGATGGTCATCTCCTGTCAACAGGTAAGGCACCACGCTGCACGAAACTTCGCTGCACTTAAAACTCTCATGCTTTATGTTTGCGAACATTTAAAGGCAATCTTTTGCCGCGCGCGCGGGTCCCAGCCCGCGTTTCAAAACAACGGACGTTGAAACTGAGATGATGTCGCAGCAGACTGCTGAAGTGCCTTCTCGTTCATGCATTGTCCCGTCTCAATTTTAATATCCCTCCGTATTCCGTCATTGAAACATACTTCAACAAATGCACTCCTTTTGGTTTAATTTCATCACGCGTCAACGTGTGTTGTTCTGGCTTAACACATACACCCGCACGCAGAGGCAGAAATTACCCTGCGCCGCGGACACCATAACGCGGAGTTTACTCCTCCAGGGTAAATTCTTCCGCCCGAGGGCATATTGGGGTTCAGTCCCCCTCATCCCGCGTGACCCATTGTGTTAAGGAGTGCACTTCGGATGTGTATGTGTATGTATGTGCATGTTTGTGTATGTGTATGTATGTGCATGTTTGTGTATGTATGCGCGCTCATGCGCGTGGATTTGCGGATGGCAGGTTGGCATATGGTGGATCTATTTATCACCGGAACATGTGCGCTTTGTACGCAAAGAGCTCAACCAACCTGTGAGCCAATGTGACACCATTTATTCAACAACGCTCCAAGGACCGGTTCCGGAGGTTCACGCGCCCTCAATCAATAATGGAACCCAGGAGTGAAATGAAACTTTGCAGGGTTTTGCCAAGTTCAGGCGGCGGCAATTGAGCGGGGCCCTGAAAGGGTAAAAAGAAGATAGGAAATCCAAAAACATCACAGCATGAAATAAAAGCCTCTGCGCTTTTGCGGCGGTTGGCTACCGGTGGTTGGAGATCACTAAGTCAGGATGCTGCTGGGTGAGGTACGGCAGATCGGCGGCGAACCGGGTATAGTGCAAAAGCCTCTCTCGCGAGCAGTTGGCTACACATACACCTTTTTGTCGGTCCTGATGACGTCAACGTGCGCGTCATGACGTACGAGTGTAAATGCAGGAACGTGTGAAGCGCGAGGTGGACTCGGCTATGTTACTTCGTGTCGTCTGCATTCGTTTTATTAGTAGGGTTTTAGAGTTTAGGATTGACAATCCTGGTAAGAGGTTTTAGGGTTTGGTCTACTGACCCACCGCCTTGGACTCTTCGAAACTCGTATTCTGATGAACAGCCATTCAGCACGTGTGTGGAAAATTATTTTATTTGTGTTCTTGATGATGACGTAGAATGAAGCAGCAGCAGTGAGGCAGGACAGACGGACAGACGGGATAAAACAAGGGAACGGGCCCAACAGCTGATGTACATTGGCTGAAAGCTGACCAACAGTCACAATGTTGACATACGCGCTATAAGTATGATAATTATTATCATTGCCATTAGTCGTACATTGTCTCATAATAGATTGTCCACACACACACACGGATCGTCGTGTTGATGTTGTACATAAAAAGGTTGTTGTAGGAAATGTTTCTTCTTCTGTACATGATGAAAAGGTTGTGATAAACAAGAGGTTGAGGCTGAGGAGAAAAGCGAGGCGGTTTATCATTTAAATTTATTATTGATGGAATAGGAGCGATCTCGCGCCGGAGGGGGCTTACTATCTCTGTGTGTGCTCATGGTATGCATGTGTAATCCATGTGCCTTGTAGCTACTGGATAGTCTTGAGCTCATTTGCAGCTTGATTGGTGATCTTTTCTTCCCATTCCCATCTCTTTGGGGGACCAAGATTGTTAGCAAGGCACTGTATTTCTGGAGCTTAACTCCGCAATGTTTTGGTGACGGTGAAGTAATACTCCGTACACATCCGTACACTGCGTTTTGGATCCGTTTAGGATTTTGCCTGTTTGTACGACAGCGAGTAGCTCCGCGACACGGCAGCATTTCATAGCAAACTGTAATCCGAGGAGCCGTTCAAACCCGTTGCGTAGCGTCATTCATTCATTCATTCATCCTATCATTTCGCGTCTGTAGTTTTCCCAAGGTGTCAAGGTGTTTGTTCGGGGGCGCCTGGTGGTTGTTTTTGGCAGCGGGCTGAAACGGGGTTGGGTCTGTCTGCAGAGAGAACAGGTGTGTGTGGAGTTGAAGCTCCTGGTGCAGCGCGCCGTTGACACCACCACCACCACCGCCATCACGAGAAGAGCACCATCAGCAAGAGAAAGGAGCTGTGTTTTTGGCCACTGTGAACGCCAACGCTGTGGATAATTCTGGGGAGAAGCACTACCTGCCAGTTGCGACATTCAATAGCCAAACGGGTTTTTACAGGAGGTTAAAAATTCCCTGTCGGCCCTTTTCAGTACGTTTCTCTTTTCACCTACGCATGTCGTACACGCAGCACGACGAAACCTTGCTTTGATCTTTTAAAGCCATCTCCCCCAGCTGGGGCCATCTGTAAGGAAAAGGCCAATGTATGTATGTATGTATGTGTGGAACAGGGGGGTCATATCTTCTCACCCTGCGGCCGCTACCCGGCACACCCTGCCTTCCCCGCGGGTATTTCGGGGCGCCCTCATCTTGTAACTCAGTGGATCGCTCAGGTTGAGCACCCACCACCGGCATCCAACGGAATCTGCCGGGTCGACAGCGGCCCAACTCCATTCCTGGTCGGCTCGCAGGTTAAAACTTTATCCCAGGTCATCACCGTCCATCGACTAGGGGTCTTTTTACCTTCCACCATCGGAAGGATTTGCGACGAACTTTAAAGCCCACAATTTTAAACGAAGCAGCATAAAAGCACAAAACACGGATCTCACATCAACACATACATACTCACATACTCACATTTTCCAGAGTATGCAAAGGATCTGGTTAAAATCTTTGCCGTACCTGTGTACGGCATATCTTGCATAAAGCCGCCCCAGCAAACCAACCAGTTGATATGGTATATGATGATGTAAGAGGACGTACGTAAGCATTCCCAAATGCTCGCAAACTCGCACAGACATATATACTCACATACACACGTCCATTCACCCACGCTTGCGTGTATGTATGTATGTATGTCCGTCGCTATTTTCATGTATATTTCATGCATATACACGTAGGTCATCAACAAAATATT